CCGAAACAACCTAGTCAAACTGAAAAAATAGCCGATCAACTATCACCTGGTCAGTTGAAGCCAATGTTGAAAAAAACTGTTGTATACAAACAAGCACCATCATCAAATGCTTCAGATGAATATTGTAAGTTCCTAATGGTGTCAGCATAAGACATGGCCTAATTAACAATGAAGATTTTGCTGTTTGCATTTTTACTGTTTTCTAATGGGCAATTTTTTTTTTTTTAGTTCAGTTCACAAGTATCAATCAATATGTGCATTAGTTTATTGAGGCTAAAAACGCTGAAAAACCATCTACCATTGAATTAATAACCTTGTCAATTTTGCGCTAGTACACTGAATCACAATGTATTTCTTCAGTCAATCACATCATTGATGAGATGGTTTTCCCATCATAAAATTTGAATTGTTGTTGATGTCATCTACAGTTTCATGACTAACCGGTTGATTATTTTCAAATTGTGTTTTCAGTTACCAAACATATATACTATTTTGATTATATAGTTTACCTAAATTTCATGCGTCAAGTCTCCCCCACCCCCGATATCCATATTTATAATGCTACAGCATATTACAAAATTAACAAATCGCTAGTTCGAATCTTAGAGCCTCTATATCAATCAAGAAGAAGATGTTAGCGGGAGCATGATTGCATTACTCCACGCTGATTGGCTCTTTCATATCCAATCAGCGTTAGTCGATACTGGACTGACATTCTAGAATCCTCTCATGTAAAAAACCTTTCAAATGAATTGATATCCGAGACTATTCATTAGGAAGAGCTGCGTTGTAATAATAAGAAAGACATCATTCCTAAAAGTGAATGATTGAAACATTAGTAGAAAATATACAATCTTACTAGACACTGTCTTCTTATTTACCAACATACCACAAGTCGAGATAATTGGAGTTCATACGTAAATAAATACTAGAAAAATCAAATCAATACATTGACTTCCACAAGAAAAAGCTTGAAAGGTATCTTTAAACAATACAATACAGATATTGTAGATAAACTGACAAAACAGCAATGTATTCATTTCTAAGCTCAGTTTTAATGTATATTATTAATACACATTTTTGAAACCATGAATCGATCAATGTTAGATCACCATTAGAAACCTGGAAGCACTGGACAGCTGATGGATACCGCCTCAGTGGTCTAACGGTTAGGGCGTTCGCGCACAACGCCGAAGGTTCTGTGTTCGGATCCTGCGGGGTGTAGGAGTCGTGGATGCGTACTGCTGAGTAGTCCTGTACCAGGACAAATCGGCTGTCCAGTGCTTCTTTCAGGTTTCTAATGGTGGTCTAACATTGGTCGATTCATGGTTTCAAAAATGTGTAACTTAACGATCTTCACAACCCCGTAATGTATATTACTATTATTATATTTTTTTTTTTGGGAAATTTGTTTTTGAGTAAAATTATTCAAAAAATATAACTTTTCTTCTCTTTTCAATTTTCCTTTCAATTTTAGATGATGATGAAATAACCGAAACAACATGGGTTCTTCGTTTAGGCGATAAAAATGTCACCGATAAAGATATGCTTGATTTTATTAATAGTCAAATTAATGGTGGAACATTATTACCGAATAGTTCAACTAATGCTAACACTACCAATACTACTAATAATAACAATAATAGTAATGCAGGTACTTAATTATCTATCATACAATAATAATAATAATATTTAGTAAATGTATCAGTCACATGTTTTTATTCATTGTTAATAGTGTAACGCTCTTAAAATGTACACATATAAGAATTAATTGAAGGAATCAGGTTGTTGAAATTTGTTCAGCAATTATTGCATAACTTACATATTTAAACAAGGATTAATTAAATTTTTAAAAAGTAATTAATTTTTAATGAACAATTCAACTCAACAATACAGTGCATATTTTATTGTTGCCCAGGTTCGAATCCTGTGAGGTGCAGGAAACGTGCATGCGAACTACCACTGATGAGTCCCATACCAGGACGAAACGGCCGTCTTTCAGTGCTTCTTCCAGGTTTCTGTAGGTGGTCTAACAACAATGACTGATTGATTGATGATTTCAAATGTGTAAAAACACAAACCTCCAATACTCTGCCCAAAAATACAATATATATATATTTTATTGTTTCACAATGAAATAACCAATCATCATATTTGTTCAGATGACATGAAAAAGCTTGTAAATGTGAATATGTCACTATGCAGGGAATTCGGAAGTTGATTTCCTCAGTGAAATGATGTATAACCACATATATTGATTTATTGATTTTTAAGAAGAAAATGCAGTTCATTGATGATCATCTTTGGTTGATATCTAATTCCTTTTTTTCGTTTTTCCTATTTTTTTAGGTAAAAATGTTAAAGACACCGAAACATCATGGTTTTCAGTACCGGAAAAGAAAAATATGAATGAAAAATGGATTTCAGAATTCTTTGATGATGATGAAAATAATAATAATGAAATCGATAAGATGTTAGGCAAAAATCAAACTTCCGATACACGTGAGTGATTAGTTTGAATGTGATTTTTTTCTTTTCTTAATGCATACAATATGCTCACAAGTGACTCGCTTCTTCGTGAGGAAATTCTCAGAATTCTATGGAGAAGATGTGATCATAATGGAGTTCAACACTGTTGGATGCAGGCAATGACTACTGAGGTCGCGTATAACCTCTAGATTGACCAAAGTTAGACATTAACAACGCTGGATGCTGGCCCAGTGGTACAGAAGGTAGACGTTTGCGTGTAAGATCGAAGTTCTTGAGTTCGAATCGTGTGAGGTGCAGTAGTCGTTGATGCGCCCTTCCTATTAGTCCTATACCAGGACAAAACGGCCGTCCAGTGCTTCCAGGTTTCTAATGGTGGTCTAACCATGATGATTATAAAATATGGGCATTCGATGGTCAAACAAAAGAGGACTACTTACTGATTGGATACGAATCGTTATACATGATGAATAAAATGGTATCTCTACTGAATTATCACTTTTACTACTCACTTGACTGTTTAAGTAATACATCTTCTATAGAAATTTTATTCTCCTCAATTTATTCATTTTAAATAGTTCAGCATAGAATGATATTATCTACAAAGAGTCGATATACATCTAAAATTACTTATTATAAATAAAAATATTAATCAACTTCAGTTTCTGTTATGTAAACAGATAATTATCAATTAAACTTATAATATTACTAAAAAAATAATCAGTACTATGTAGAAATTTGATTCATTTTAGCATGTAAATATTTATTTATTCATAATACATAAAAAAATTATGTGATTTATTCCATTTTTTCTGTTTAGGTCAAGTGGTATCGAAAAGTCTATGGATTTCTGATGATTTTGAAAAACAATTAAAAGAAATGGACTTTTTAGGAATGTTACGTAATTCAACTGAATTAAATGATATCATCAATAGGAAATCCGATCTGTTATCATCATTTAGTCGTAAGTTACTACATGATTGATTATTTCAATGTGATAGTTTGTGTACCGAATTTTGTTATTCTTGCAAATTAATTTTAACACAAGAAAAATCTCTTTGAATAAATGTTTGTTAATTGTTTGATATTAGGAAAAAGATTCTACGGTCTTTAAGCAATCAACATTTTCAGTAGAATTCGAGCTGTCATTTACTAGAGCCATCAATGAAAAACATTATCATGAAACCATTTAGGTCATGACTGATTTTTTTTTTCTAAATTTATTTGTCATTAAATTCTGAAATCACTCATTCAAACTTCTAATCACATAACTATAAACAACTATTACAAATATACGTGAACGCTGAAAAATGCTGAACAGAGAACGGATAATCTTAACGAACTATGAAATCAAAAGTTATTGGAATTGATACTGCTTACTGAACATTAATAAGTAGTACAATTAATACTACAAAAGAAATTTCGGTAACGTGGTAGTTACAAAGAAGAGATTGGACTTTTATTCTCTTATCATTAATATCGGAATATATTTTAGATTAACCTTTTCTGTATTTCTCAACAATAGAATTGTACGATCATTTAAAGTCTGAATATATTTCAGAGTATTACTTTAACCATTGTGGTTATCATCATTATAACTGTTATTGATAATTATTAATCAGAAATTCTTTGATTATTTCACTTTTTTAGTTAACGACAATTCAACAACAAACGATCAAATAAAGTTAGGAGTACCAATTAATAAAGTGTAGAATATTAATAACAATGTCTTTTTTTTCTTAATTATGTACGATTTTAATTGTTAGTAAATTTTTGTCATTAAATTGCATATTTTTCTTTAGTCAAAAAATGGAAGGGGTCAAAAATCGTAGGATAGGGACTTTATTAATTAAGCAGTTTTATTTTTAATGATTAGTTTATGTAAACTATGTATATTGGGACAAAATGACCATATGGTTATTTGTCAAGTAAATAGGTTATCGGTTATTGATGTATTTATGATAGTCAATGTATTACTAGTTTCGTGACGGTCGGTAATCCCAAGTGTTCTTTGACTTCGTAATTTGCTCGTCTAGAAAATCGTTACTGAATAGCGCCTAACGGTTAATAAATCAGAAGGTGAACAATAAGTATTGAATGAGTTTATTTCGGCATACCACAAACAGACCGCAAACCACAGGCACACGGATCGAAGGGCAGGAAAGCTAGCGAGTGAGTGAATTGATAAGATTAAAATGTACATATATACACATAGGAAAATGTCTGAGTTATCGAGATGTTTAAGAGATTAACTATTAAAGCGTATAGGATGAATATGCGCGTAGGCGGTAGGCAATATTCAGACGTACCAGCTAATACAAACCAGACAACAATGAAAAACTAATGGTACATATTAGTTCTCGTTATATCAAATGACTTCGTTACAAAGACTAATCTAAAGGCTTAACCAAATCAAATATGAACGAACTCAAATGTATGTGGTGGCATTACATATTTACATCATAGTGAAGATTACGAGAAAAATTACCAAGTTACATGTTCGCTAGTTTATCATCCACGATGGGTCATCAGGTTTTCGTTTCGAAATGAGATTTTGCACATTTATAAGTCTCATAATTACAATACAATAATGTGATTTATATTTATGCAAACACCTACCCACTATTTGACACCTGTGTTTCTGTTACGCATGCACGTAAACACATCATTTTGATTTGCCTGAACTATTACGAGTTTAACTCAGTCGGAAAACGAGAGCTAGGATAGAGGATCCTTCGACACGACCGGCTACTCTAATCCCATTATCCCAACCAACACTGAATAAAAGAATAAGACTTGATATAAAGTAGAACCTGTATTCCACAAACATCCAGAAAGTACGAGGTCCGAGTCCAGGAGAGAATCAGCATCCCGGACTAGAGATCCGGATCCAGATCATAAAACGTTACAGATAATGTGTATTTATACATTTCGGCCGAATAGGAAACAACAACGATGTCTGTGATTTTGACAGTTAAGACGGCCAATAGGAAACAACATTTGAAGTGACACTGATATCTAGGACGACCATAAAATTGACCAGTAGGAATTAACCAATAGGAATTGAGCAATAATTCTCTTAGGATATTGGATGAATATCCTAACAGTTTCCTGTCTTATAAAAAAGCTTTTTCTTAGATTGCTGTTAACAATTTATGTTGTATAAGAAATGAGAATAAACTAATTATATTAGTGTAATATCTTAACTCTAGACTTAATAGAATGGTCTCAGCTGCACCCCCAAGGTAAATGGTTATGTGGAGTTAACGTCTCAACATCACATACTAAGCAGAGATAATTAATGCTAGACTGACCTGGGAGTCTTGATCGTCTAAATATATGTCGTCTCTTGGGCGATTATCTCATTTCATACACAAAATCAATTATCATAAAAGCTACCGCTCTAAACATCAATAAAAGACGAATCATTCTTTTCTGATAGGTTGTCAGACATTAAAAATGAGGGTTTTCCCCATAAGTGATACGCAATAACTCGTGATTATGACTTATTGACCATTTCGCTAGCACAGCATAAAAGCCTATCTCCCGAACAAATACGTACGATTCACAACCACTAACAAACGACTGCCTAGGATGAATGGATAGAAAATTTGCTGTAAAACAAACTTTTCTGTCGTTTGAGAAGTTGCGCAATGCTGAAGGTGACTCCCCATTTAACATACATATTTTATGTAAAAATCATTTAGATTTCTATGACTTCTCATAAGGTCTGAGCTGTCTCCGGAATTCGGCTTCCATCGAAAATCCTACAGGAATTAACACCTGTCCGAAAATGATATCTAGATTCACTAATTGTAACACAAGACCGGAAGTGCTATTACCGAACTTGATTCACTAATTTTCTAGGTCCAATAGTAGGCACTTCGTTTGTCGTTTAAATGGCTCTTTTGATTGGTGGGACAAAGGTACAGATGAATGGTAAGGGTAGGGGATTTGAAAATCTATTTCATACCCTTAAAAAATTATTCTCGTTTAATACAGGTTATGCTAAACTTCGCATATCACTCATTAGTCTAGATAACTCCCAACACTACACAAATTTCCAATACGAAGCGTTGATTGTCATTTAGTGGCATATACAGCACATCACAACATTGCAACCATACAAAGCCAATAAGAACAGATACATAGATTCAGGAGAACAATAAGTAGGATGCACATATACATAGGGAAAGGGAATGAGTGATCGAGTAATTTAAACAAATGATATTCAAGCTAGTAAGGGGAATTAGTGTTTAGGCTGTAACAAGCAGCTCATATTAACATGATAATAAATAGTACTGTGATGTTGGACAAATTTGTTACTGATCCAATGACGACGGTCTGTCAAATTGAAGGGCTCAGTCAAATTAAATGCATATATACTTCAAATTCCTGATTCTGTGGCTGAGATATTTTATGGACATAAAACTAAGTGGATCTGTTGATCAGCTGATGTATTGATTTCCAAATAAATTCCTACTTAATGGACCAATTCATTTTTTTTTATAAAGGAAAATATCTAGGATGTTACATTGTCTACACATTCTTCTTTATAGATAGATTTAATAATGAAATGAGAATGATGAGTAAAGCAGTTGCATAATTATGGTTTATTTATTGGTACTATTGTCTTATAAAATATGTTGTCATCTTGTAGTGTGTCGATTTACTGAGTGTTCTTAAGCTCGGTAATTAGCTCGTCCAGATAATCGTTACTAACTAGCATCTGGCGGTTTATAAATCAGAAGGTAAACTCGAAGTGATGAATACGTTTATTTGGGGCACACCACAAAACGAGTCGGAGAAGCAGTGAATAAAACGAATGAAGTGACGTGAATTGGAGGAGGCTGTCGAGCCAACTCCAAGAGATAGAACATGACTAAGAATATATAGTCAGACAAAAATAAGACAGACATGTGACAAGCGAAATAGGCATGCACACACATGAATAAAAGCGACGAATGATTGACAAAGTCAAAAGCAAGCGAGACAAGTCGCGTTAGTTCATAGGGCTATTAAGAGATTAACGTTAAAGCGAAAAGGATGAGTCGGTGAGTAGGCGTAAGCAATGCTCAGTCGTACAAGCTCATACAAACTAGACAATAAAAAATACCAATGGTACATATGAGTTGTTGCTATACAAATAGCTTGGTTACATAAGTTAATCGAAAGGCTTAACCAAATTAAATGTAAGCGAACTCGAATATTCATGGAGGCACTACAATCTCTCTACATTCACAATATTATATTCAAGTTTATTCAGATTATCATGTTGCTGTTCCGTTTACCGACACGATTAAAAAAAGACAGCTAATATGGGACTATGACGGGATCTGATTATCACCCACTATGATATAGTTAGAACATACTTTAAGCCGTAATCGATGTAAAAGTTTATCATGTCTAATTCATTTATTTATGAAATCATAACTATAGAACCTCATAAAGAAGCAGCATCAGCCTGTTTCCCTATTTGACACAATGTTCGTACATTAAAAGCTCCAACATGTAGTTTAGAACGAGGTTTTAGGAGATCAGGAATTACGTTTCGGGAATTCGAATCGTTTGCAGCAGAGGTGCGGGATGATAACGGAATGGGAGAAGAGGTAGTCATGAAGATAAGGGAGATGTAAGGGGGTGTAGGAAGGATTTGATTATGACCAATTTGATCTCGTGTGCTGTTACGGGTATAAGGGCAGATATCACTTCCCGGCTCCCCACACCGTGGAAGGGTGTTTCTTGAGGAACCTGAAAAGGAAAGTAGATTAGAGTCGGTTTTAGGGACCTGGGAGGGTGACCGCAGAGCCCAACGAACAACTGCTTGATGCCGATGACGCACGGCCGTTTTATGGGTGGTATTTAAAATGTTATCTCCGTTCTTGTTTAGAAGTCCTTATCGCCGGAGCCGAAAATCCGTGAGGTAAGGTGAGTTGTTACATTTTTAGGGTCAACCTTTTCTAAGCCTTCCCTCTTTGTGAGAAGGCAGCATCGCTGCAGATGCTGGTTGTCCGAGGGAAACACCTTACTGCTGCCACACCCCTCTGCAGTCAGCAGTACGACTTCGCTCTCAGACCTTGAGTAGCTGCTTTTAGTCTCATCATTCTCCAATCGACCTGCCTGGCATGGTACAACCTACAGGAACATATGTTCCAGCCAATCTAGGTCGGTTGCGTCATCATGATAGGCAAATCCGACCACCACGTCAAGGTAGCTGCTACTCTCGGGAATTATGACATAAATTCCACATTTCATTTAAAGAATTCATAAGGTATGTGATAAACCTCCTAAAATATACTTACGCTTGAATGATTATTATGCTTTTGACAGATAGAATATAAATTGTTGATCACTTGTTGAATATATAGATCCTTAACTGTTTATAATTATCTTTCGTATCCGATTACTAAATTAAATTAACTTTGACTTCATCAAATAATCTCTCCTGTAATGACAGAAATGAAACTTTTCGATCCCATTTATATATTAAGCAGATGAATAAGTATAATTCAGTAGACAAAATCAATGAAAGTTCTATTGTTATTAAATAACATACTATGACTGATTTTTCCCGTCTAATTAAAGAAGTGTAGAACATGAAAACTTATCATACTGCAGTTTCATTGTGTACATAAGTTGGTGTTCCAGCTATTGAAATTTGTAAAGTCTCATTTGGCGTTTCTGAGAAAGAATCCGTTTTGCAAAACACATA